TGGGCAAAGATGCTTCACAGCTAGCTTGTTTCAGTCAAACACATTGTTGCTATTTAGTTTCCCAGCTCCCAAGCTTCCCCAGGTTGAAAAAGAGAGACCTCATTTCATAGAATCACAGGATGGTTTGAGTTGGGAGGGACCTTAAAGATGGTCTAGTTCCACGCCCCTGCCATGGGCAGGGACACCTCCCACTAGCCCAGGTTGCCCAAAGCCTCATCCAGCCTGGCCTTGAACCCCTCCAGGGATGGGGCATCCACAGCTTCTCTGGGCAACCTGGGCCACTGCCTCACCCCCCACACAGGAAAACATTTCTTCCTCACATCTCATCTCCATCTCCCCTCTTTCAGCTTAAACCCATTCCCCCTCATCCTGTTCCCCCACCCCCGATCCAGAGTGCCTCCATTTAGTTATCTGAGTCAAAAACACATGCAGAACAAGAGCAAGGGCTGGTTCATCCATCGTTTGGAAGAAGGTAGGAGGATTAACTGGGTCATAAAAAAACCTTTTGAAAAGATGATGAGCATTGCAGAACAGCCCGGGGAGGCAGCAGTACTCTCGTACCTCCCCCAGGACTCCCCTCACCCATTGCAGAGCTGGGCACAAACATGTCAGAGCTGCAGGGCCACATACCTGGGGCTTGCTCCACGCATGGGGGGCTTGGGGCTCTGGGTGTGCCCATGGGGCTCCTTCACTCATTGTGAGCAGGACTGGGAAGGACAGTACTGGGCAGGCACCCAATAGCGCTGCCAGCGCAGTGGTTTCCAGTTTGGTGCATGCAAAACAAACATGTTGTGTGAAGCTAGCAGCCCTATGGGCTCAGACACTGAAGCCGCCATCCCATGCACATCCCCACAGTCACATTTGCCACATGGGATTTTAACAGGACTCTTTGGAAGAGTGAGCAGAGAAGCAGGGCTCTGGTCTCAGCAGTTCTTCTCCAGTGCAGGGTTGTTCTCCTGACACAAAGAGCTGTGCCCCAGCTTGCAGCAAATCCCCCCCACCCTTCACCAGTTCCAAACCCAGCTACAGGCTGCCTGTGTGCTTGTTGGATTAAATCAAAGCTTGGGGTTCACCCCTGCAGAGATCGCAGCCCCTCCCAGAGATGCATTTCACTCTCTGGGCACAGCAACACTCCCCTTACCTGCCTTCCCAGAGAGCTGCTGGTATCTAGGGAATAATCTTTGCTTGTAAAGTGGTCCAGTTGGGATGGCAGCACCCACCACTGAGAAACTGCCATCCCAGGGTGAGAGAAGTCCCCCAGCACCCCCCATCTCACCTGCCTCCAGGAGCACCCAGCCACCTCTCCCCAGGGCAGGCTCCCTGCCATCCCCCTCCCCACACTTACAAGGAGGTACAAGCACCCCAGCAAGGCAACACCCCTCAAAACCAGCCCTGACACCAGCCTATAACCCCAGTTACCCCCCTGCTTTCCCACCCAGG